TAATATAAGGGGGGGGGGGGGCGCGTCGCAGGCGTCCCCCTAAATCCGCCCCTGTCTATGGTTGCCGAAATCGCTGATAAAAGTTCATGAGAAATAATGGTGGTGATGTTAAGGTTATACTTTTTGTACACCTCAGCCCCCAACCATGTTGGGGCTGAGGGGCGATGAGGTGGGTGTGGTCTCACGAAATGTCCCCTCCCCCACCTGTCAAAACAGATCTGCGCCCTTGACCGTAGTACATGATTATTTTCGTTTAATGAAATTTTATTCCAGAATAAAGAAAACCCTGTAATAATTGTATCAGGGAGCTGATTGATAAAGCCTTCGTACATGCGCACATTGTATGTTACATTTGGGACAATCCCCTAATTGATATAGTTTTTGGGCTGTAGTTGGTTGGTTAATCGTCATCTTTGCCAACTTAATCGTCATAGCTTTGCTTTCGTCTAGATGCTGCACAGACTGATGAGTATTAAAGTAAAAGTAGAACACTAAAGAAACTTTGAGGATTTCTCGAGGTGTGGATCTGTAATCTTGGATTGGAAATCATTCAATCCAATACAATACCGGTATGGCGTTGGAAGAGCTTAAATGAGTCCTCCCTTGTTGACACCATTTTTGTCTCACTGAGTCCTACTGAGTTTGAAGCGGAAAACATTGGCTACAGGTGGCCGCGAAACTCTTGATGCTAATTTAGATTCATGTATTTTTGTTAAAATGATTTATTGCATTTTTTTTTAGAGTGCTTTAGCGATCCCTGTGTGAACGGGGCAACGTGTGTAGATGGTGAATATGGTTCGTACACATGTCAATGTGCAACGTACTGGATGGGTACAAAATGTGAAATACAAGCAGGTAATGTGTTAATTTAAATGCAAGTGAGATATTACCCGTTTTCTCTTTGATCATAGGCAGTTTTCGTTTTGGCTACGCGCGGCCAGTCTACTACGTACTAATAGAGCGTAACAGACATCTGCGCATGCTCACCCACCTTACCGACTAATTGTCCACTCAAAATCGTAGATTTTACATATTTATATATATTATTTTATATATATATATATTTTCTTTTTGTTGTTTATCTGTAACTGTGTATGTTGAACTGAAGACGAAATATATGATATGATATAGGTCCAGTGTCATAGTAAATAAACACTTTAATATAAAAAAAGAAATACTTGTGTATTCATTGTGTTATTTATTCATCTTAACACTGTATACATAGTATTTACAACCCAAATTGTTTAAGTACACACAAGGTAACAATATACTCTTAAGAGCCACGACGTGGCGCTTTTTAGAGCTTTTAGGGTAATTAAAACTATAATCTGAATCCACGATTTTGTAACAAGATAGCAATAAAGGCTTTTATTTTAATTATAAATCGGTTTATTACAGAAAATGTATTTTTAAAAATTTTTTATCATTTGAAAATTGATATCTTACTGAAGATTTCAAACATTTTTTGACTGCGCAGTCTATACAAGCCACGTCACGCCCTCTCGGCTGAACCCGTTGTATTTAGCAACTACCCATTCCATGAGGCTGTATTATTCATAGAGATATAATAAGAATACTAGAGCGCTAACGGCAATGTAAAATTGAAAATGATAGTGCTCAGACGAAATTTGATTGGCTGAATCTATGGCAGCCATCTTGGATGGTACACACACACAGCTCTGCGTATTTCGAACATCGAATACATTGCTGTTAGCGCTCTAGTATTCTTATTAGGCATTTTTCGTTTTGACTACGCGGCCAGTCTACTACGAACTAATAGAGCGTAACGGACATCTGCGCATGCTCACAAACCTTACTGGTTAAATCGGCGTTGTGACAGCTTCCGCGACAACCCCAATTTCTGAATTTGGCGTAGTGGCGACTACCCTAATACAGATCACCGGATTGTTTGGCAAACTGCTGGTAACTTTTTTGTTGGGGTTGCAATTTTCATCGCATCCGCGATCGAGCATTGTCCGTTTAATAATGAATTAATTATTAAAACAAGTGAGTAATTAAATGTTAGATGTGTATAAGAGACAGGGCTTAGCCCTACGCTACACCCCTACGGAAACTTTCAAACGGTCCAGATTATAAATTACATTTTTTGCAGAAATATAGCCAAATTGCTGCAAGTATCTTGTCTTGGGACATTTGTTTTTTAATAAAGGTAATAAAAGCACACAAAAAATCCAACTGATAACTAAATTAGGCCAAATTACATGAAGAAAGAAGTCAAACACTGCAAAAAAAGTCATCAAGTCAACAAGTCATCTAGTCGAGCTCCTGATAATTTTTGAAAATTTGCTACTTTTTCGCTGATTTATTTGTTGGTATTTACATCATTGTAAAGACCATCTAATGAGGATTTAGGATCACTGATTATTTTGGACTGTTTCAAGGTATTCTTTAGGTAATTTGTCGATGTTTGTGGTATACTTTCTAGGCCTCACCAAGGTTTACACAGCACAGCCAAGCATTTCTGCATGGGCAACCAAGCTAGCCTTTTGTTCTAAAGGAAATCAGCAGTTTTTTGTTTTAGTAGGCTTATACAACATTGTTCATTTAGCGGAAGTCAAAAATCATGGTTCTCCAAGCAAGCCCACATAAGAATGTAAACTCATCAGATAACTCGCCGAGGAGAAATATCTCATCTAATTCACCGAGTCCTGCTTCTAGCAGTAGTACTTCTGCATCCACTACTAGCACAAGATGTTCCAGTAATGTTACTACACCAAGAATCAAATGCATAGATGGATGTAAACTTGGCTACGTTGGTAATGGAAAACATTAGAATGTTCTATTTGTAATGAACATTACCACAGAATATGTGTAAATCAGAAGCCGCAATCAAACCCTAAAGTATGGTTCTGCCCCAAATGCCACACTCTACCAAGATTTGTACAGGAACTTGCACGACAAAGTACCCAGCAACAGGACACAATTTGCAAAATGGCTGAAGATCTCACTTCAATTCTGCAACAACTAAATGATCAGAAAGCACTGATTTCTGAATTACAGAGCAAATTAGTTGAAGGAAAGCAAGAAAGATCAAAGCAGGATAGTCAACTCATTAGTACGGATAAGAAATGTCTAATTATCGGAGACTCAATCATAAGGGATATCAGTGAGAGG